ACATGATCAACTTCGCCTGCAGTCCTATTCAATCCAAACGGCTTTCCGTTTCAGGAAGTATTACAAGTCACTGTTCATGGGTTTCATGGACATGGCACTCGTCAATGCGTATCTCACGCACAAGGAAACGTCCCGGATCAAGAGGCTGGTACCAAAAGATCGTGGAGAATGGTATCTTCTTCTTCATAAGCAATTGATGCAACTCAAAGCCGACGACTTCATTGAAGCTACTGCTCCTACACCTTCTCCTATGGCTCGCTCTCGCAAGCGCCGCCGACTAGACGGTCACAAACATATCCAGTTCGACGACTGGGTCACCGTTTCAGGCACCCAAAAGCGCCGGCAACGCTCTTGCAAAGTATGCGCTCTTCTACGAGGCGATCGAAAAAAATCCTTTCAAACGACCTATTATTGTGAGGATTGCTCACACGCAGACGCAAAGTGCTTCCTCTGCCCCAAATCGCGCCATAGCTACGGAGGCGTGCGCAAAACATGCTATCAGATTTGACACGAAGACTATGACAGTGGGGCTTCCATCCCAGCATCGCTCGGCAAGCGAGTCGTCTTGCGACGATCAGCCAAGGCAGGTACTCGAAAACCAACTCGGCGTGAGCTGCTCTGTCAACAAGACGGCGAGGCCGACAATGGAGAGGATCAGCCAGCTCAGCAATCGGCAATCGTTTGAATGCGTTTGGACAGCACTTAGTTTATGTAAATGTAGCTCTTTCTCTGTTGTACGAGGATCTCTACGGATGTGTAAATAGGCATCTGCTTCGACAAAAACAATACTTGAACGTCGTAAGTTATGGCTTTTCGTGATTCGACGTGCTCATAATGTCGTAACTCATACGACGTAGCTCAGAATATCCTCTGACAGTTTATAGCGGGAATCCAGTGCGGAAAAGACACATCCATACAAATAAATATACTAAAATAAAGTCGTAACTTACGACGTATAATAGGCGGGGTAAATTAACATACCTCTGTGGGATTCAGAGGCCGTTTTAGCGATTTATTAGATAGCGCTGTCGGATATTACTAATCGACCTGAAAAAGGTCATGTTATGTTCATGAACCCCACACAATCCACAGCCAACGTAAGGTCTAATGTCGCCAAATGAAAGCCCATGATACGAACACCGCAGTAACGGTGTCCATGACAGCCAACTTTTGCTTGGCACATCAGGCGCCCATGAGTCTGCACCACCCTCTAGTCCTTCTTCTTCGTATTTCTAGGAGTAGTCCGTGGGGGTCAGACCACGACACGTTGACTACCCCTATGAACTTTCCCTTGTAATACACTTACTCACCTCCGTGTTCATGATAAAGTTCTTTAGGAACGGGCCTCGAGTTCATAAAAGGATTTGTCATCTTGAGCTGCCAGGTTGAACTACTCGGGTTTTTGCACGCCGGCACGCAGAAGGGTGTCGAGGAAAGCTTCCTGGACTACCTTCGTCAGCAGTTTGTGCAGCTTGTCGCCATACACGAGCTTTACGTCGAACTGAAAGTGTGCGCTATCCAACTGGACGAAGCCATCGACAGCGGAGCCGCGCGCGCCACGTAAGACTTAAGAAGGGTCGTGTTCTTATTGGCGACAACGTACATGCCCTGCCCTGCATAAAGACCAAAACGTGCCAACGTTACCAATGCATAAATGGCATGATCGACGACGTTCAACATAGTCGTGTCATTGGACTCCGTGATGGTTTCGGAGATAGGTACGTCCCGTATTCCTTGGGAGCCTTGGCCAAGTCGTTCTTGACACGATCTTTATGGGACGTAAAAATGTCAGATAGAACTAGCACACAAACGATCTCCTTGGCACGCGCACGGTAGGTCAACGACCTCCTTTTCTTTTTCTTGTTTAATTTTTGGCCTTTTTGGCTGTTTTTCCGGTCTTAGCGGATTCAAATTCTTGCTTGGGGATCATCCTCCATCCTTGATTTTTCCTCGGCTTAGGAGGGGGGGGGTCCTCTTTGAATTATTGGGTCCTCTGCTCCCGCTTTGACACCAGCGTCTTACGCTTTCTCCTTTTCGGGGGAACGAAGCAGCTTGTAATACATGCTTATAATGCCACAATTCGAGTGCATCCAAAATAGACAAGGTGCTATTTGCAATTTCCTGAGAATGATCCAATACACCGTTCACACTAATTAGTCGTAGTTCGCAATTTTGCACTTTAGCGACATAACAAATTAAGAATATTTGACAAATATGATCAAATCTTAGAAAAAAAACGGTTTTGAGCAGGATAGCCGAAATCCCATTATATAGGGCTTCGGTCTGTACACCACTGTTAGTCAGGGTATGACAAATTAGTGTGAACGGTGTAATAGGCTAAGGATTTCATTCCCAAGCTTGGGGTTGCATGTGTTTTCTTGGCGCACCAGTTGGGAACGGGTCTTACTGGTCCTTTTTCGGTAGAGATGAAAACCCGAATGTTAACCGTCACCGAATCGACATGAACTCACGGTTGTTAAATATTATAACCGGCGCGGCCCACGACTCGAGGAACTAGGACTCTAGCTTTGTTGTTTGAGTCAGTGGACAAGGATGGAGCGTCGATACAGCTAACGGTTCTAGTGTGTAAATCGTGCAGTATTCGATTTTGTTTCTGTCTTCGCCATTTTATCCATACATAAGCTGCTAGACGAGAATATTGGTTCTACAGCTAGAGCGGTCGAACACGCCTCCTATCACCAAATGGCCCCTTACCCCTTGTATTGTCGAATCGTCATGAGCTCACCAAACAAGACTACGGAAGATTCTTCTGAGTGGACGGTGTAGTTGATACATATGCACCGTAGACGGAGATTTCGCTGGTACCTTCTTGGACGCAACAGGCTGGTGCGTACTTAGACCGGCAGCTTCTGGTGCTGCGACCTCTACGGACGTACGCACGTGTATTCATTTCGCGCCAACTCAACTTAATATTCAACGCCAACTTGAGGGCAGCAAGGATGCTACGGACGCCGCAGCTTTTACAGAGTTAGTGGTTCACTCGACCCAACAGGACACGTTCGAGCTAGCTAGACTTATGCAGGAGCTACTTCTCGATAGCCATTAGACATGAATCGATTGTGCGTATTGGCAGTTATTTTTGCTCACCTACCATGCAGTTTTAGAGATCTCATTTTCGATTATGTTACTAACTTACTGTAAGTTGTTTTGAGGAGTGTGATTTACCTATCCAGCAAACGAGCGGGTTATCTGGTCAAAGAATGTTTGTGTATGCTACGACTCGGGTTAATGGTAACTCCAAAATCGGTGAAGTTAATATTGTGAAAATATCACCTGTAGACCAGTTAATATAAAAAATATCACCTAATATTTTCTTTTGAGACAATATGATATTATTAAATATCAACTTAATATTAGTTAATACGATATTATATTTTTCAATGATTGCGTAATCGGGCTACATTAACTAATCAGATGTCGTTAACGCTCGACTAGCTGAAGTATTACTAATCAACCGTGAGTACCGGGACAATTGTGAGTGACGGCAAGGTTGGCGTTGTGTGTTGGCACTGCTGAGCGCATTAATCTAGCGCCACAGGCAGCAGGTTTATTAGACGCACGATGTCGACGAGGAGATCGGAAGAGAACAAGAACAAATGTCTTGATTTCGCTCTATCAACGTTAAACAGCTGCAAGCGTTTGCAGTTTTCCATCTCGATCGCCTTTGTCTGTGTCACAGTGAAATACTAGAGCAAATACTCGTCAGTCTTAAAGCCTACTGCTTTTCTAGAACCTGATCGAAAAAGTTATTTGGCTCCGCTCGGTTCACAGAGGTAAGCTGGCAAGAAACGTACTTAAGTGGGAAAATATCATAAAATATCATGTAGTATCTAATATTTTTCAGTTCAATATAAAAATATTATGTTAGCTTTTGCAAAAATGAGTTACTATTAATATTTAATATCGAAAATAGTACTATTACTATCAAAAATATCATATGATATTTGGTTACCATCTAAAGATGGGCAGATTGCGTAATCGCTCCGTGCGTTACAAATTTTGTCTAGACATAAATTCATGGCCATTTTGGCATTACTACGTGCAATCTACTCCTACATTTACAAGTTTCACTTCACATACCGATACTGGATCCCGAGCACACAGCCGAAGCTTTACTTCAAATTTCACGACGGCATTGCCGATTTTTCTTGCCATTGCTTTCAGACGACGAACGAGCCATTCTCCACACGGTGAAAACTCTGAATTTTTACATCGCTATCAAGGTGTCCAGGTTTGTAGGAGCTGTTGTCCTACTGGTTGTAATGTTGTCACCTGTTTTGGTTGTCTCTAATAAATGGTGCTTCGAATCTTAAAAACAGATTGCGCTCAGACAATATACTACTTAAGAAGATCACAACGAGGGTCGAAACTCTAAGCGAAAGCATTTAAAAACGACAATTAGAATAGATCCACTGAAGGGGATTAAATTATCGTAGTAACTGAGCTGTGGCTACCAGGAGCAGCGCTAACTACGCGGGGCATGTTTAGGTTGTGCTGGTACTGCATTTCGTACTAACTCGTCGAATTTATAAATATGCAAACGAAACGATGCTTAGAAGAGGTAGCGATGGGTGGTGTGTAATAGAAATACGAATTCAATTATTTGTCGCACACGGGCATATTTTGGTGAACCCGTTCACCGTTTGTCGACATTGTCGAGATAAATCGGAAATGCGGTGTCCGGGCCACTAAGCTGCTAAAGAGTCGAAGCCTAAGGACAGCTAACTGACAACAGTTTTTTAGACCTTGATGTTGCGCTTTCCAGCTTCAGTGATCAGTTGTGTCGAGTTAATCAAACTAACAGACAGAATGCGAACTTGCTGCTGCTAGTTGACTAAACCCCAACAAATTCAAAGCCCATACAGACTTAATTGCCATCCCAAAAAAGGTGTAAAAGCTGGCTACTCCATTTTAATTAAACGCTCCAGCTCTGTACTGAGATTAAAATCGTCACTGTCAATGGCTCAGAGACTACGTGATCACACGTGCACCTGAACCACCAACTCGCCTTGCGCGTGGTTGGTCTTCAGCTTCTTGTACGCATCCAGAGCCGTCTCAAACGGATAAACTGAGTCGACCACAGGTCTCGCCTTCCCATCTTCGACGTACTTCGTAATCACCTCCAGCGCTTTCGCCGAATTGTCGACAGCGCTGACTAATCCGATGAGCTGCGCGCCGAATTCGGATTCCTTCACGGGCTCCGGCATTGGCAGCAAGGTAATGAACCTTCTTCTTCAGCACCAACTGCGCGCCGTCGTTCCAAGACGAGGGCTCCACGCCACAATCGTACAGCACATCCACCAAGTGCCGTGCAAGGACGTCTGTCCACTTGTCCTTCGTGTAGTCGATGACCTGGTCAGCACCCATCGACTTGACAAGCTCCACGTTTCGAGTGCTCGTGGTCGTGATCACACGAGCTCCAATGTTGTGGGCGAATTGGATGGCGAACATCCCCACAGCAGTACTGCCGCCCAAAATGAGCACAGCATCATCTTTCTTGAGCTCTGCGTGAGTCGTCATGCCAGCGTAGGCCGTTAAGGCCGCTGTCGGTAGAGCCGCGGCTTGGTTGAAGTTCAAGTTGCTAGGCTTCAATGCCGCGAAACCTTCGTCCACAACCAAGTACTCAGCCAAAGTTCCCATGTCATTCAATGGAGTCGAGGCGTACACTGCGGCGCCAATCTTCACGCGCTTGACGTCACTACCGACCTCCACCACCTCACCGGAGACGTCGAAGCCAACGTTGAAGGGTTCATCGACCGACGGGGCCTTCCCGAAGAACATTTGGCCCATAAACTCAGCCAACTTGTAGTCGATAGGGTTCACCGCAGCGCTGCGCACCTTGATACGGACTTGCTGGGCACTGAGGGTTCGTTGTGGCAGGCCGGCCTTGAGCTTGAGCTCCGTTTCGATCGGGCCGTACTTTTCGTATTGGTATGCGCGGTACGTAGATGGGAATGTCATTTAGAGCAAGAGGTTGAGTTCGGGTGTGCTAGTTTTTCTTTGGTGCTTGAGAGTAAAAAGCGAAGTGGTGACGGAACCAACGGCCAGATCAAAGGTCAAGAAGGATATGGCTGCATGCACTGGTCGTGTATTAACTTGAAGGTGATGACGGGCATGAATTGTGCATCTCCGCAATCGTTATTGACTCAACGTGATAACGGATGCCATGGGCTCCAACCTTGGAGGTGTCGGAAGGCTGTACGTAACCAGCGTCATCAGATGACGTATATTCAAACAGGTGTACATGTACATGTACATGTTGGTCAGCAGTTGTACCGATGTTTACCGACATTGATTATGTACATGGGTAGCACGGCTTTGATTAGGTACTTGTTAAGCCAAAACACACATCGCGTTGAAAGTTTAGATATTGTGGACGATAGACTATCCTTCGTCAAGAAGTTCCGGAAATGTAGCGTCAAATGATGTCTCTACTCACACAATCCGTGCACTGCTTTTTCATAAATCTTTACCAATCCATACCAGAGTCGCCATTGACGACAGAACTGATTCAGAAGACGCACTACCGGTTGTTCGTCAGAACCAAAGTGACCCACAAACTCGAACCCCATGCTGCCACTCACTTCAATTCCCTCTAAACCCCAGGAGACTGCCGACATCCTCGACATGAACGAACTGGCGACGATCCCCCACACGTATTCGGATCCCTTGGATGCAGTGAATACTGAGGAGTTCCTACACCTTGAATCAATTGATCTCCAATCCCCTAGCGACTGTCCAGTCGGCTACAATTGGCTTGATGCAGCCAACACCACACAAGGCGAAACACTTCGGAGGCAAAAAGAAGCGTTTCGACGTCGAAAGCAGCGCCAACGGCATAAAGAGGCGCGCAGAGGACTAGAAAACTACGATGTGGAGCTGAGGCAGAGGCTGAAAAGGCCTAAACACGCAATTGAATCCTCGGAAGGAAACAGTCGCGCAAGTATCCAGCTTTCCAATTATTATTGGAGAGATTGCGCGACTAAACTGCGTAAAGAGCGGCTCGCGGCGGAGGCGGAGCATGAATTCCTCGAAGCTGTGACGAATGCCCAGGCCGCGTACATTGACCACCTGACCAAGCTTCTACGGTGGCAGACAAGCACGAATCCGCAAGAAATCTGGATCAGTAAAATAGGTTAGTTGATCCTCGGGCAGAAAATGGACTTTACTAGTATTTCAGCTGTCTGATTAAACCATGCATTTTGTTCCTCAAGTATTTCTGCTTCTAGAAAAGGTATCTTTTAGAAAAAAAATTGCTTCAGTTCTAAGAAAAAACAAAGAATTTATTTTAAAGTGAACAATGCGCTATCAACTGTCCTCCCTCCTGGGTAACTACGTTTAGCCAAGTCTGTGGCTAACAACCATCCAGCATAAATGCGACTACACTGGAGAAGCTGCTTAGTCGCAAAAGTTTTTGCTGGGCATCCTGTCGTCAACCCGTTTTCTGGAATTAGAGCTCTCACCACTTCGGCACAATGTCGGAGCGAGCTGAACGTCTTTCAGGGCTGCAGAATGGTGCCGTGGGATCGATTGCCGGCATGGCCGAAGTGATGCTGCAGCAGCCGACCGTGGCCATTAAGAATGCGATGCAGCAGGGTCGTCCCATTACATGGACCGTTCCAGCGCTCTACCGTGGATTGGGCGTCTCGCTAGCCTCCATCGCGCCAATAAGTGCCATCCAGTTCGCCGCCAATGGGAGGCTGTTGCGCGGCTTGACGGCTCCGAAAGAGGCACCGTCAGACCGGACCAAATTGCTGTGCGCCACACTGTCCGGTCTCGCGTCGACGGGGCTTGTGGTCCGGCTGAGCTTATTATGACACTGCAGCAGAACAATGGCAAGATTTTTGGTGCGACAGTCAAGGAGGTTGCTCAACAACACGGCGTGGTGCGGCTACTGAGGGGGGTTACAGTCACGGCCGTCCGAGACTCCATGTGGTGCGCCGGGTACTTGGCGCTTGGTCCCGTGCTCACGCGCGAGATGCATACACTGAGACCCACCTCGTTTGGAGACGCAGACACTGCGACCGCAGCGCAGAAGGCATTGGCCTCGGTTGCCGGCTGCGTCACTGCCGGTCTCTTGTCGGTGGCGGCTACACAACCTCTAGACACCGTCAAGACCGTCATGCAAGGTGAAGCTATGATACTGCCCTCAGGTCGCGCACCCAGTACACTTGCCACGGTAGTCCGCATCTACCGCAAAGGAGGCTTGCTGTCCTTCTATCGGGGTATCTTGCCGAGAGGATATCGCTTGGCTGGTGCTGTATTGATCCTAAATCAGTCGCGCATCTGGCTGGAGGAAGTCTTCGAAGACCACGAGCTGCTCAAGTTCTAGACAAAATATACTGACGTTGACACAAAGAACTCGGAACTTACTCATCGAATAACAAGTGAACTAACCGAATATATTCGAAGCTGGGTTCGCTCGCGTGTTATCGTTTACCATGTGGTAAAGTCGATAGGCATCGCGGCTCGTAGCGCTCCGGGTCGATGGTACACGCCGTGCCGTCGATGCATTTGAAGAGCGTGTAGAACATGTAGCCTCCGCACTTTGCATTCAGCGGCAGCGCGTACTGCTTACACCAGAAAGTCGGACTGGAGTCGTCCACCTCACAGCGAAAACCGGGAACGCACTTCAGCTTTTTGTAACATTACCGTCGGGCATTGGTCCGACCCAGAAGCGCGAGTAATTGAAGCCCTCACCCCCACAAGCTTGCGCACCAGATACGTCCACGATTTGATCCCCGGACTTGACTATTCCAGCATCGTATGCCCCGTCTCCACTGAAGCTACCACGGGAAATGATTCGTTCGGCGGCATCTGCCGGGATACGGACAGCGCGACCGGCACTTTTGACGACCGCCGCGACTACAGATAACATCGTTAGCTTTAACCAGGACATTCTACCTGTGTTGCGAGTTTTATCGTACGCAGAAACCTTTGAGAAACAAAAAATACGCCATTTTTAGCTTTTGAATGGAGGGGGCGGGCTCTGAGGAATATAAGATTATTTTTATTTAATCCTGTTGTAATTACTCGGGGACGCATTGCGAGTACCAATCATTAACGTACTTGCATACAGCACCTGTGGTGCAGCTTGTCAGTCCGCTGTAGTTTGCACCGCCGCACTGACCCCACAGCTCTACACCAGATATTTTCTTAACCGGTTGGCACTGAAAATACCAAGGATTGACCTCCTCACACGAGTGGCCTGGTATACAAGACAACTTGGTCTGCCAAATCGGAGAGATCCCATCCGCAAAATATTTTGCGTAGTCAAAGCCGAGACCACCGCATTGCTCCCATGCTCCAACTTGGGAGAGTTGGTCAGAGTTCATAGGACTCGTGGAAGGGGTTTCTGTTGCTGGCGTTTCAGTCGTAGTGCCTACCAAAACCGGAGGGTTGGAGGGAGTACCGTTCGGCTCAGTTACTGATGGAGCCGCTGTGGTCGATGTCGGCTCCTCGGTTGCTGCAGGTGCATTCGTGGCTGCGTTGGGGGTGACGGTGGCGTCCGACATCGGGGTATCGGTGGTCGGAACGTCCGTAGTCGTCGTCGAGGTCGGTGTCTCGATGCCTGGCACGTCCGTTGGCGCCTCCGTAGCTGGAGTGTCTGTGACCGAGGAGGCGTCATCATTTGTAGAAGCACCCGACGTCGAGGCTGTAAAGGAAGCCGATGTCGACGTTGGCGTCTCGGTAGCCGAGCCGGCACTATCCGATCCAGCGGGTTCAGTGGGTGCATGAGATCCTGAAGAGGAAGCGTCCGAAGACGGAACCGTTGTGGTCGATGTCGGCTCCTCGGTTGCTGCAGGTGCATTCGTGGCTGCGTTGGGGGTGACGGTGGCGTCCGACATCGGGGTATCGGTGGTCGGAACGTCCGTAGTCGTCGTCGAGGTCGGTGTCTCGATGCCTGGCACGTCCGTTGGCGCCTCCGTAGCTGGAGTGTCTGTGACCGAGGAGGCGTCATCATTTGTAGAAGCACCCGACGTCGAGGCTGCAAAGGAAGCCGATGTCGACGTTGGCGTCTCGGTAGCCGAGCCGGCACTATCCGATCCAGCGGGTTCAGTGGGTGCATGAGATCCTGAAGAGGAAGCGTCCGAAGACGGAACCGTTGTGGTCGATGTCGGCTCCTCGGTTGCTGCAGGTGCATTCGTGGCTGCGTTGGGGGTGACGGTGGCGTCCGACATCGGGGTATCGGTGGTCGGAACGTCCGTAGTCGTCGTCGAGGTCGGTGTCCTGATGCCTGGCACGTCCGTTGGAGCCTCCGTAGCTGGGGTGTCTGTGACCGAGGAGGCGTCATCATTTGTAGAAGCACCCGACGTCGAGGCTGCAAAGGAAGCCGATGTCGACGTTGGCGTCTCGGTAGCCGAGCCGGCACTATCCGATCCAGCGGGTTCAGTGGGTGCATGAGATCCTGAAGAGGAAGCGTCCGAAGACGGAACCGTTGTGGTCGATGTCGGCTCCTCGGTTGCTGCAGGTGCATTCGTGGCTGCGTTGGGGGTGACGGTGGCGTCCGACATCGGGGTATCGGTGGTCGGAACGTCCGTAGTCGTCGTCGAGGTCGGTGTCTCGATGCCTGGCACGTCCGTTGGAGCCTCCGTAGCTGGGGTGTCTGTGACCGAGGAGGCGTCATCATTTGTAGAAGCACCCGACGTCGAGGCTGTAAAGGAAGCCGATGTCGACGTTGGCGTCTCGGTACCCGAGCCGGCACTGTCCGATCCTGCAGGTTTGGTAGCAACTAAAGGTTCTGAAGCAGATCCACCCGAAGCTGGAGCTGCTGTGGCAGCTGTCGGTTCTTTTACTGAATGGTCTTGAGTTGGTTTGGTTGTGTTTGGTTTAGGAATAGGCTCCTTTGACGAAGAGCTGTTGTCAAGGATGTCATCCAGCGAATCCAAGTCGCTGCTGGAATCGACCGTTTTGTTGGTACGCCAGGTATCATCAGACAGCGAGTCGGCATCGATTGATGAGAAAGAGTCCAGGAACGCAGCCTCCTCCGCCGCGTCGACTAGTATCCGTTCATCGTCACTGACCCGCAGATGTTCAGCCTTCACACCCGCCATCGTCGCTGTCGCAGCCACAACAAACCCAACGATAACCTTTAGCTTTGTCATTGCCCTTGTAAAATAGCACGTTGATGGAGTCTGTATTGTCCGTTGCTAATCGCGAAGTGAGCTACCAAGAGAGCAGCGTGGCTGAAGAACTTTCACCGTGCTTGAGTATGTTTAACATTGCTCCTTCTTATCCACTTATGACCAACGCGTGGTGGACATGCCTTTGCCAATTTAGACATAACGCCGTTTAACGCCAAGTCTGCCGTTGCCTCAGTCTAAGCCAAAATAGGGAGTAGCCATCTCAGATTAATATAGCCATCTTTTCATCAATGTAGCCAAGTTATCCTTAACCCCGCGTTTTTGGGCCCAAGTTATCCTGTATTATACAGGATAACGAAATGACTTGGCTTAACTAATGCGGAGTTTTTGTGAGGATTGTGAGGATCACAATCATTTTTGGGTATCTATCGTGAGCAGTACAGTGTATTTTGAGGAGATGTGATGTATTTCCCAGCTACAATTCATGTAATCGTAGAGAAAAAAAGTCTATATTTACAGCTACCTTCATTCACAAGTATACATACGTTAATTTGATTAGATCACTGGGGTCTCCACGTCGCCATCCTTTTGCGACCCTCCATCACTTCCCGACCTGGCGCTACAGCTATCATTAGGGACATTATCGTCTCTGTCGGATGCCTGCGCTCCTTGGCCTGCTGGAGCACGTAGCCTGCTCGTCTTCAACCCTGGTGGAATGTTAGCGCCGCCTCCCCAAAGCTCGTGCCAAATTTGGCTGCAGGTGGCAGAGCTTGTCGCCGCAGTCGGATCGTGCTGTCGCACCTTTTGACATAAATAGATCTTGCCCTTAGCACTTGAGCTGTTGTCCGGTGTCCCCGCGAATCTTGTCTCGGTACACTAAACGCAATAGAAGGTAGTTTCCCACGGATTCCTCGTCGGTCGTAGTACCTTGCAAGCGTACTGTCGACGCTTTCTCGATTCGTTGCCGTTCTTGCCTCGCGTCGTACGGTACACTTCGACTTGCTTATTTGTATGGCTTGTCGATAGCCTGTATCTCGGAGTCGGCGAAGGGGGTACCGGCGTGTCAGTCAGCGCGCGAATCGATAAGTCACCTTCGAAATCTGATGCGCCAACAACCAGCAGGGACATCTGCATTACTCGCATAAAGTGCGCATGCGTTGGTTGAGTTGAACCAGCTGTGCGATCACCTTGCACGCGACGAAAGATGATGAATGCGTTGATCAGAGCCATGTCAACGAGCCCAAGGAAGATAGTGTGGTAGTTCTTCCGCATTTGCATGGCACTCTGGACAGTACAGGATAAAGTTAGATGTAGGTCAGTTGATCGTGGATTATACAGGGTTAAGTGTAATGCGAGTAAAACGGGCCTAAATTGAGTATCTCTGTAACCGCAATTGGTCGTGTACGTCAGCCCCTCCCATGCCGTCTTGATACTGCTTGACAAGGCGCAGTGCTGGTACATCGACAGCTGCGGAACCCTCACGCCTCGACAGAGTTGCTGGTTCCGTGCTGCAGCCCGTGGAGATGAAGTGTACGGGACGTTGTCCATCCACGACACCGCAATCATGCTGGGCTCCTCCTTGGAATGCGCGATACGATATGACCCTCGTGCCATACTTTTGGGTCGCTTCGCATTCTTATACGGGACAGCTTTGCAGTAACCACGTCGATTGGTTTGAATTGTACCAACATGGTAGAGTCCACGCTGCAGCAGAATCGAAGACAGCAGTAAGCTTGAGTAGAACCGATCCGTAATAATGAGCCGTTTCTTGGGAAGGCCGTCGAGAACTGCATCAACATTGCGCAACACGGCGTTGGGGCCTTAGTTCAGATCCGCGCTGTCTGTGTCAACCTTTCCTTGATAAATTTCGGCCCTATACAGGATAAAACAAAAAAGGCGTGAGGTTTTGTCCTGTATCATACACGAACATAATACCCATACCTGTAGCAGTAGCCGGTATGAGCGTCACACGTCAAGAAGCACTTCGTACCCCATGGGTGGGGCTTCCCTCGAAGATACTGGCGCATTGGGTTGTACTTGCTCCGCATAGGTATCGTTCCTTCGTCGAAGGCAATTCGTTGACCCACCGTCATCCCCAGCTTGAATGTTGTGTTGATTGTGTCGGCGATAGGCTTGATCTTCCACGTCTTGTACTTGACCGAATCAGGATGACTGTTGTCACTAAAGTGCAAGAAGCGCACGATTTCTTCGAATCGCTTTCTTGCCATGTAACGCCCAAATGTTCCTTTGGGAACCGCACCTTGAGCATCCATTGCCCAGTGCTTTGACAGCTTTTCTTTGTAAAGACACAGAGTACGGGCACAGAGAAGTCCAATGAAGTTCACCAACTCGTGGGCTTGAATAGGTTTGAGCGCTCTCTGCTCTTTCTGAACTTGCTGCAGTGTCCTTATCTTGTACGCCGGTCGTCTGTCCTTGATGCGTTGTTGGCGAGCCATGCTCTCTTCCGCCGCCTGCTCCCGGTACTGGAGCTGATATCGGTTTGACTCGGTAGCAATAGCAAGCCACATCTCTTTGAATAGGAACAAAAAGAATAACCCTTCCAGGTTGCAGCCCAGTGCTTGAGCGAGCTGGGTGGGGGCGGCGATAGTACGTGCTAGATCGGCAGCAGGTAACTGCAGAGAAGTACCTACATCAAGCATCGAAAACATATAATTAGTGTCTGATACAGGATTCCGTTACGGTTCAGAAAATGACATCCTGTATCGTACAGATTTGTACTTACATTTGTTTATGAAAAAGGTCTTCCAGCCAGTTTTTGCGTGTTCACTCAATTGCTCCTTGGTCATCTTGTCAAAGGGGGTCCCAGCAGAGAGATTTAAAAAAACGCGTCCTCTTCATCACTCGTCGCTTCATCTTCACTACTGGAACTTTCACTGGAGGCTTAGACATCGGATACAGCAAAAGTCGTCGTCTATGGCGAAGTCATCTTCGTCACCAGAACTCATCCGGTCATTGCCAACCGATATATCTACCGTTTCAGCCACTAGGCGCGTGCTTCGGGATGGTTGTACACGTGTCGGTGCTGGTACACGTGGCGATCGCTGTGGTGACGGTGTTCTCGACGCAACCGCCTTCCTTGCGCGCTTCTTAGGGGGTGTTCTCACCGGCGTTTTGGGGGGCGCCTTTGCTGGCGATCTAGTGTGAGACTTGGCAGGCGACTTGGCGGGAGACTGGCCGGGAGACGGAGCGGGTGACTTGGCCGGAGCCTTAGCAGGAGTGCTGGCTGGGCAATCGGCTGGCGATGTGTCGGATTGGACTGCGGTCGGTCGAGCGGGTGATGCTGGGACTGACGCTTCAGCAGCAACGGCAGCGTCGTCATACAGCACTACATCACAGTTAGTCTCTTCAACATTAGTATAATACGCATTGTAGGACGTACCATCTTCAGGCAAATGATTTCATACTTCATCGGGACCCTCATAATAGTCGACAAGGTGGGCTGCGTGTGGTCGTTTCTCCCAGCCTGCAGGTGTAAAGTAGCGATTCTCAGTTGCAAGCCCTTTTGGGCGCTCAAACCTCCATCCAAGTTTCTTGAGTTTGGTCCATAGTTTTCCCCACGTAAGCGACTTGATCCGCTTGCGTTTTGCCATCCAGCTTTGGCTACAGCTGTCCGTCCGTCCGATTCGCAAATGGCGCGAAACCTTGGACACGCGCGAAATCACTAAATCTGATAATCTCGAAAAACAGTGGCCACGAATAATACCCTCTGAGGTTAGCAACAATCGTCTGGCCTTCAAATCATTTCGTATTACTAAAACATTGTATACATGACTTGATTTGAGTACTGACCAATATTTATCCTGTATTATACAGGATAATATTTTGGCTATCCTGTAGAATACAGGACGCGGGGCTAAAGGGGTTAAACCACAAAAAAAATTAAGAAACGGAATGTACCCTTTCGTAGCCTAAGCCGCGTTGTGTTGTATATTGCACTACAAATCAACCTACACAAGTTGAGCGCCTGAATACAGATGAGACTGCGCCAAACAAAATGTTACTTATGAACCTTTGAGAGTTATCGAGATAATCGAGCTTAAAGTTGGCCAATTGATTTTCGCACTTAACCGAAACCGTGACATTTATTGTAAACTTCCATCGAAAAACTGTAAAAACACCCTTATTTAAATTGATTTTAACAAGAGCTTTTAAATAACACTTCAATCTCTAAAATTGAAAAAGTATTGAGCTCACAATACTCCTAAATGTATCGTCATTTCGAGGGCCCATAAATGAAGATAATATTTTTGAGCGACCACAACTTCTTCAGTTTTAAGCATTCTGCAGCTTATAAGGGCTCAAAAACTAGAGGAGACGCCCCGCTTTCGTTTAGAGTGCTTAAATCGCGATTCTTACTTAGGTTCATAAGTAACATTTTGTTTGACGCAGTCTCAGATACGGATTGGCTAAAACCGTTTTCTTTAGCCGGAAACCATGTTTGTACCCGGGCGGGTTTCTAAGGTATTATGGATTTTACCGCCGTTCTCTAAATGCAAATTCGAACAAAACACAAGTACCTTGGCTCGGTCGCTCCCGCTTCGTAAGGGGTGCTCTGGGAGCGACCCTTATAAGTTATAGCATCAAGAGCTCAGTGCTGAAGCAATATACATACCTATAAATGTCAGTACACATGTACCTGAAGGTTTCTCGTGAAGGATGAAAGCAGTTTTCCCCTGCAACGAGAAGCTCGACAGGACGGAAGATCAAGACTCGAGATTGGTTCCTGCAGCATTGCTAAGTCACCCAAGTACTGGACGGGACAGGCCAAATATGTTTTAGATGTAAGTGAATAGAGTAGCTCAGTTTTAGTTTATCCTAAGGCAAGCCTTTACTATCGGCAAGAAATCAAGATGGCGCTGCAAGAAACTGATTATGTCATTTTGTATCGTTAAGACCGGCTTACAGAACATGATGAACTCCAGTACACCCAGGTCGCCTCAGTACGTCGATCGACCGTTGTCCTCACGGATCCTATGCGCCAGAGCGAACCCTACACGGTTGGGCGCGCTGTAGCTCAGATACGTAGGGTTGAAGCGGACGAGGCCACCGGCACCCAGACAGGCGTGTGGATGCGGAGGAAAAGTCCTAAAGCTCCGAGGCTACACCTACTATGACCAAGTCGCTTACTACGAGAGAACGGCGCTGTTGGTGTCGACCTTCGCAGGACAAGATTAAGCTGAATTGCAGACTGTGCCTGGCGATGTCTACACCGTGAAGGCTATGATAATGGGTCCAAGGCGCTGGCCAAGCCGAGCGTGGCTGCAAACGCCCGTTGAAGATGTGCACGACACGCAGATCGAGCGTATCCTTGGAAGGAAAGGAAGATGAACCTCTAGATCTCTTGGGCTTGGCGGATCAGCTACTGGGAACACTGGCCAGTACCACCGATCTTCAAGTAAAATAGGTGCATACTGTCTCCCTCGCGTATGTCCTAAAGTGTGGCTTCTATTCGAGTAAGGTCGTAGAAGCAACACAGTTCCCTTAGCAGATAATGCTGCATTGAAACGAGCTAATATTCGACAGGTTAGCCCGCTGTTGCTACAGAGGACGGCTTCTTTGACCCCTTGGTGGTCGACGACGACAGTGCCAGTGTCCTGTGTCTCCTAGACAGCATAAGACGCATGCTACCGGAGGCAACGGATGCTTGGGAGACACAGCTGAGAGAGGCGCAGATCGGCTCAATCGGGTATTCCCGACCGATTACAAGCATTAACGCTTCCATCCCGATCGCACAGTCAGCTCGGATAAGCAAAAGTTAGCGATCGTCGCGCTCATTAGACGCCACAGACTTCATCTTCTCGTAGCTTATCTTTCAAAAATGAACCCAGCGGCAAAATACCAGCGCGACCTCGGGAGCTCCCATCTTGGACCGGTAATGTACCAAGCGATCAAAGCTGGCTTTTTTCCATCGGCAGAACAAGAGTATGTGCGCCAGCTACTGACGTCTACACAGCACCCAGCAAGACAAGCGATGTCTTTATCGGGCTTGCATGGGTTTGGACCAGTACACCCGAGTACGCTGGTGAGAGCATACGACCTTCACTTCGGATTCCGTGGTCTGTCGATCGCTCATTTCAGACGTTTGGGGGTGTTTGACCAGTATCCGGCCAAAATGGCACCAACAATTTTGAGATCTGACTTCACACACCTGCGCCACCCGCCCCGATCCCAAAGACATGGGGTGAACTCGACGTGGTAACACGAAGTTTTGTGGTCTATACGCAAGCGATGTGCGATGATCTAACATCTCAATGGTCAAAGAAGCTTTACGACTTCGGCATCGAGCTGGGGGTGGGAGCAGCTTGCAGAGGGTGATCTGCTTATGCAGGTCTGGTGGATTAACAAGGTGCTCGGAGCGAGGCTGTCCGGTGGATGGTCGGGCGTCTACCCCAGTGCGACGCCGTTGTCGTCGATATGTCCGCGCCGTTGGGATGACTCACCACCGTATTTTATGCAGTATTCGGTGGAGCCGTATCCTGATTGCTTGGTCGAGAGATCCCTAGCTAGATCAGTGGGTGGGCTGAGCCCGATACCGAACCGTTCTTTCCCTACGAATGGGTGGACGATTATGTCCCCGTAGAGGGTGATAAGCCGACACATCTATCTGCCACGGCAACAACACTCCGACTCGCGATACTATCGGTACTTGGGCTGCGAGCAATCAACAAGAATTACTTCTCCTTATTGTCGACGCACCTGGACGTTTTGGGGCTGGGATTTGATACCGAGCTTCAAACCGCGTCAATACCGACTGCAAAGATGAACAAGGATCTTTAGCGTGGGGAGATCATGGCAGAGTGTCGCGATGTGCATTTCCATGAATTGGAGTGTCTTTTTGATAGCCTACGGCACTTGTGTATCTGCCTCCCGTCAGCGCAACCCTTTAGCTTTTACGCTTGCGCACGTTCTGCAAGCGTGCCCCAGCCGCGGTCGCATTCCTGTCTCGGGTACGTTGCGCCATCACCTCACGGGGCTTCGGTTTATTGTCATGTAGGGCGACTGGTGCGGACTTCCAACGCAACTGTTCCGGAGTTAACCAGTGCCGGTTGTACATATGTGGGCGCATCAAATCAAGGTAATGTTTCCTCGACCCAGCACGCGAGCGTTACATCCAAGCTCGCTTCGATGAGGACGAGTACCAATCGATTGCTACGAGCCCGAGCGGGTGGGGATTCTCGATTAATGTTCGTGAGCTTTTTTGTGTCACTTTGGCTGCAGTGGTCCAAGGAAGTGATTGGACGCCGTCACCGGTATCCACCATCACCACCGTTCGAGCGTGATAGGGCAACACCAGTACCGTGGCCTGGTTCAAATCGACAACCCCCTCGCGCAAGGGCTCCTCCGTGTTATGGGTCTGTGTCGCTAAGTCACGATTCCGCATCTCGACATGCCTTCTCCCGGGGGCCGCGAACTACGCCGCAGACGCGAGCTTTCGTGCGTGGTCTGATCCGTTTCGCCGCCGTTGGAGAAACGTTTCGCGGGAATGAACACAGGCATCAGATCCCCTGTCGTCGCGGTACTAGTACAAGACCTTGTCGTAAGTCTACAGTCCCAGGCATTGGCCAGATCGAGTCACTGGAAGTACAAGTCAAAGTCGTGGCAGAGGTGCTAGTAGTACACCAGCGCGGTGCCTCGCAGTGGCTTACCGGTGACCGAAAAATGGATTCTATATATCTAATCTCGTTTGCACGCCACTGCTGCGTGCCTTGTTGATCACGGAAATCGGAATGGACTCGCTAATCATAATCTACTCTGCTAAATTACCCGTGATTGTGCGCTCTCAGCTGATTCGATGTCGTCGACGAGCAAGGCAGCGGAACATGACATGGGCAAGCAGCGTTTGGAGTACGGGACACGTTAGCTCAGGAGCGGGGGCGCAACAGCGCTTTTTGCCGAAGAAGACGATTGACTTGTGATGAAATTATTTGACCGCTGGAGCTCCGACTGCTACGAGCAATACGCACGCATGGAAGAAGCGACTATCAAGAAGCTAGCAACTAGGATGGTACACGGTACTGACGGTCAGTGCAATCGTCGTTAAGCAAGACTGCGTTAAATGGGCCTGACCCCACCCACCCGGTATTCTACTGCCCAAATTCGGGCGAAGGTAAAGCTGGGGATAAAGGTTTCCTGTGAAGAAAAAACCGTTTCCCCCTGCAACGGAAAGCTCGACAGGACGTAAGATCAAGACTCGAGATTGGCTCCTGCAGCATAGCTAGACCACCTAGCTTCTGGACGGGAAAGGCCGAGGACGTTTTGAAGGTAAGTGAATAGAGTGGATCAGTTTTGGTTTACCCTCCACTCTACACCCGGCTGGATGATCTGAAATTTAGCAGCTGAAATCTTTAATGAACTACTTAATGAAAAACGCTACAGTCCCAATTCGTGCGAAGGTAAAGCCAGAATACA